CTCATGGTCATCCTGCTGTCTACCAGTCCTTTGGAGGCACAAGCCCTTTGGTGGGGACGTTCCCCAGTCGTTCTGCCATCTGCAGCTTTACCCACACCATCCTTACTGTAGTGCCCATGGCTCCTGCTGCCCGTGCCCAGCTGGGCACCCCCAGGCTGGCCGCCCTGGCGCCGGCTCTGCAGGCTGTTGTAGAGCCCCAGGGTGCGGCGCTTGGCCTTGCGCACGATGTGGCACACGTATTGGAAGATCTCCTCGTAGCAGTCTCCTGGTTCCATGTAGCTGGCGACGGTGCTGGAGGAGAGGTAGCGTGCCCTCTGCTCCTGCATCAGCTGATGCTCCCTCTGCTTGGTCTCCGAGAACTGCGTGGCGATGACCACCAGGCACAGGTTGATCATGAAGAAGGAGCCGACCTGGCGGTGAAGGAGAAGGAGCAGAGTGTTGGGCTGAGAAGGTGCAGGAGGGGAGAGTTGGGGAGAGAGGAAAGTGGCTGGAGGGAGAGGAACAGGAATTGGTCTGCATAGGGAGGTGTGACTTCAGAGAAAGTCAGAGATGGCTGAGCTTGGGTTTGAGAGCTCACTCCATGTCCTCTCCGTGCGGAATTTAGAGCGCTGAACTGAGATTCAGGAAAAATAAGCCCTGATTTTGGCTCTTTTGGCAGACTTTGGGACCTTCAGCATGTCACTTAGAAGCTGCCTGCAAAGGGTTTGATGAAAACTGGGCTTTTTCTTTCCCCTCCTTTATGTTAAACAGAAAGTGGGAGGCTTGCCTGTTTTCTCCTCTGCTTGCTCTTTTACTACTGCAAAAATAATGTCCTGTCATTTATGGTCTTCAACTCTTGGAGGACACCTCAGTATTCTTGGAGTATTTTCTTTATTTTTACCTTTTATACCTTAATTCACCATACAGGGAGGTGGCATTTTGCTGAAATGAAGGAGCTCTTGAAATCAAAGAAGAGTTTACAAAAACTAATGACTTTGAGAAGGAAACTATTCCTTACTTATTTTCTATTCCTCTGATACTAGACATATTATATTAACTCTTCTTTTATTTGTCCTCCAGCCTAGGTAGACTTTCCCTTTCAAACAGAAAAATAACTACAACCCACTTCCCCAAATTTTTGGAAACAAAACAAAATACTTAAGTTCTTCTTATCCTCCATATAGAAGCAAAAAATACTGTCAGGCTTATTTTACACTATCACATGTTCCCTTTAAGCTTCCTTTGCCTGAGTTTTTCTACCTGTAAAATGAAGCATGTGTTTCTTGGTGATGAGAGATCCGGAGGTAAAAAAAATCTCACTCTCATTGTTACATATTCTGAAATTACAGATTAATCTCCACTAGATCTGTCCACTACACTTAGGATCAAACCTGGGCTTGGGTATGATGAGAATTTAATTTTGGAAGCTCAAGGCAGTGGCTCTTTCACAGGGGAGATGTCCCTGCTGGCATCTGAATGTGCCTTTGAAACATGAAGCCCTTCCCAAGCAGATTCAACACAGGGACAACAAACCATCTCAAAATAAAGGTTTGGGTTTGTTTCTTTTTCTTCTCTCATCACCCTTCAAAGCTGTTCTAATTCTGTTTCCCTTCATCACTGAACTCTCCTCTTCCCTCTCCTCCTGCCCATATTTCAGCCTATTTTCCCTTCAGCTTCTGTATGTGGCCTTGAAAATTAAAACCTGCCTTGTGTTTCCCCATCCAGTTATCTCCCTCAGCTTGCCCTGAGTGAGGCAGGGCTGGGAGCTGGACAACTGCTGTGCCCACATTTCCAGAACATTAACACTGCTCAGTACTTTACAACTTCCAACAAGTCCACAAACAAGTGATGAAGACTTGGAAAACTCTCTAGGCTATAAATAGAGGAGCAGAGGGCAACAAGATGCCCTTGGCAGGGTCACACTGTCAGCCTGGGGTTGAATCTGGAGGAGGGTTCGGGTTTCACATCACCAAGCCCTGTCCTCACAGGACAGGCTTTGATCTCCTACCAGATGACCAAAAAGGGGAGGAGAGTGAGGACTGGGTAGGGCAACTGAGCCCCAATCCTTAAACCTCTTAGCTAGGAACATCAAATGTAAAACAAATGAGCTTGTTTAATCCTTAAGACGAAGCAAGTCCATAAACTCAAAGGCTTTGTTGAGCTTGATGCTGCCTCCCAACTAGCAGAAGGACAAGAAGGGTCCCAGATGGCTTGTAACTGAGCAATCCATCTCAGCTAGCTGAGCAGGGAGACTAAAAATGCCTGACGTGGAGTCAGACAAAGCATCTGACACAGACAGAAGGAAACCTGATTCAGAGCCCCAACACAGGAGTCCCACCCAGCCCTGAGACTGAGCTCTGCTTTGATTAAGCAAATCCTGCCCTCGTTTAACCCAGGGTTTGATTCCTGTCTCTGCAAATTCTAATCAAATCTTAACAGTGTTGGAGATGCTTCCTTGACCATCATTTTTATTGGATACCCAGCTGGTCTTCTGGAGCCCACATGTGCATGCACAGAGCACTTCAAGGAGGCCACTGAGTGCTGAAATGTGGATGAGAGCTGAGAGTTCAGAAGAGTTCTCTAGTCTAGAAGTCACACAAGTGGCCAAGCAGCTGGAGAGGTGACAAAGAGACAGATGGACCTCCAGCAGGAAGACCTAAATGAAAGAGTGACCCAAGAGGTAAAGGCAGTCCTTCCTCCCCATCACCTTCCTGATCTCTGGGGCAGAGGGGGAAGCTGTTTAATTTGCTGAATGCATCAAATGCTTTTACCAGGTTGTTCTGAAAAGTCAACAGGAACAACCTTGTAAAAGAACAACCTTTTCCCAGGTTGTTCTGAGTGCCAGGGTCACTCCTTCCCCCAGGGCACCACAACTATGCAAGAGTTCTCACTGTGGTGGGGATATGTCCAGCTGATGGAACCTGATCCTGCCAGGTCAGTGGTAGCAGGTAATGCCCTTATGTAGGTGTTTGAAGACATCTTTCTGAGGGAAGGAGAAGTCATGGATGGAAGCACAGCTCTAAAGAAGAGGCTGTGGATATCTAGCCCTAGAAGAGTAAGAAGGATAAAGGCTAGAAGGGCTGTGATGGATCATCACTCCTATAAGAAGACTTAGAAAATGAGGCCAAGTGATAGCAGGTTCACACTGTGGTGTTGCTAAGTGCTGAAGAAGATGTACTACACATGTAAAGAAGGTAACAGCAAGGCTAAATACTTTCTTGGTGCAACCCCACCAAAGGCAGAGGAAATATCCCACCTAGCACATGGCTCCTTTGTTCTGAGCAGTCCCCAGAGTAAGCTGAGGTTCATGTGCTCCTGTGTTTGATGGCAATAAACCTACATGGCTTCTGCAAACAAGGAGGGAGTGTCTGGAAATGTCAATGACACTCCACAGCAACACCTTGGGTGAAGTATTTAACTGAGGGTTCTCAGCACCTGCAAATGCACAGAGAAGGTTGGAATCACTGGAAATCCACACGAGGTGAGTTAGCACTAAGGATGCTCTTGCTTAGGAACCAAAACTGTGCTGACAGAACGTTTGGAGCAGGGGGGAGGGGTAGTTTTTGCAGCTGGCCTGCAGGAGATGGGCATGGCCACCCCAATGGTTAAACACTGCTTCTGCAGAGTCCTTTCAGGCTCTAGAGAGACTGTGTCTCAGACAAGGAGTAAATTCTGTGCTGAACTGCACAGGGTACAAATCTGGGCAGCCTGGACTTACTCCTCAAAGTGAAAATGCAAGTAGGTATTAAACATCTGCTGTGTGGTGGGAGATAGGAACAAACTTTATGGGAAATAATTCTTTTCTGAACTCACAGAAAGCAATGGATGTTCAATTTGCCTGTGGGATCAGAGCTGAGGGGGAACGACCCCCCAGTTCTGTGCAATCATACCTCAGCACAATCTCTCCTTGGGACTCTCCAGCCCCAAAGTGAAAGCAGCATTCCTTAGGGTGTGTTTCACCTCTGCTGTCCTGGCTCATGCCTCAGCCCACAGGTCACCCTTCTGGTTTTCTGTCCCTTAAACCAGATACTGTGCCACAGGAGTCTGTTGATAGTACTTGGTGAGTGCTTCTAGAGATCGTGCTTCTAGGAGGGCACACAGCCACATAAAACAAGTAGTGGGTGAAAAGCAGAGCCTCAGCAAGGTCCATTCAGAAACCTATCCAAAATGCATCCTTGGAAATACACACTGAGGTCCTTACTGGCTAAGTGACCTAGTATTAAATTGATCCTACTGTGTACAGATTTAATACTTCACATAATCCATTCTGTGTCTTTCCCTTCTACTCTTGACTTTGGTCCCCATGTGGGAGAAGTACAAGAGTCTTCATAAAACCCAAATCCTTCCATGTTAAAAACAGGAAGTTCCCTCCAAGAAAATGCATTTGCATGTGGGAGACTTGAGGAATAAAAGAGGCAACAGTGCCACGTTTCTCACCTCTGCTTCCAGGAACTGAAAACAAACCTCCTTACAGCACAGCAATCTTCAGACTTCACTTGTATAAATCAAAAGGGCTTAGGAGCTGCTCAGTAAGTTCTCATCACAGACACACACCTCTCTTTCCAGCCCCACCAGCCTTACACAGCCAGTTTATGTTGGGCTGCTGACACTGTTGGAACAGCAGCTCCTTTTTGTTCATGGGGAGGAAGTAATTCAGTGTGACAGACCCTGAACCAGGCAAAGTCTGCATCTGAGAAAGCCAGGGGAGGCCAAAAGCCATGAAACAGGACTCAAGAATGACTCAAGAGCTTAAAACAGAGAGAGAGACCAAGTAGGAGGGTAGATGCAGAAATGGTTTCCTGTGATTTTGGACCTACCAAGAGCCTATTTTAGCTCTTGGTGAAAATCAGCTAGCTGGTTTCCTGAGATTCCTAGAAAAAATCCAGGTAGTTTGCTTCCCCACTACCCTTGTTAACCTAACACCTGCCTTTTTTGTGAGCTCTTAGCCTACATTTCTAGCAGTCATCACATCTTGTACTTACGATTATCAGCAAGATAAAGTAGATAAAATTGTAGAAGGAATGGGCATCCATCACGTAGTACATGATCTCCACCCACCCTTCCAGTGTGATCACCTGCAAAGACAACCAACAAAGAGAGGAACAGAAGGGAAGTGGCTTCCAGCGTTCACTCCTCTGTGGACACAGGCAGATTCTGGCAGGGCTGTTGCTGTTGCAGTCCAAGGAAGGTGAGAACCAATTCATTTCAAGGAGGCCAAATTTCCATTCCAGGAAATCAGCATGGTACTGCTTGGTGACACTGGCATCCTATCAAAGCCTGTGAGATCATGCTAGTCCCCAGCAGGACTATTTGATTAAAATAGTTCATTTCCCTGGATCACAGCAGGGGGAGAACCTGCAGCAGGTTTCTGGGCCCCTCGGACTGGACACCACGTACAGTTGGTGGAAAACAAGAAAAAAAAAGGCAGGGATTTTAGTTCGCATCTGCAACACACGCTGGGATTTTTTAAAAAATAAGATAAAAAATAGAGAGTCCTTTGCTAGAATGAGCTGGACTGAAGGGGAATCTGGTACTAGTCAGTCTGAAGGGTGGAGTTTATATCAGCAAGAGCCTGGAACAGCTCTGTGTCCCTCCCCATCTCCAGGAGCAGTTGATGGTGTGCACTCTGTCTCTCTCACCAGAGTAGTTCTAAGCCCCTTTTCTCCATCACGGGAGCACAGAGACATTGAATTGGGGGGAAAAAAAAAAAAAAACGGAAAAAAAATAGTTTAGGAGGCTAACTTGGTCTTACCTGAAAGATGACAATCCAGGCATACCCAATGTTGTCAAAGTTGATGGCACCCTTGTGAGGGTTGGCGTTGCCTGTGCGGCACACGTTGTAGTACTGGTTCCAGTTCACACACATGCCACTGATGTTGAACTCCTGTCGGACTGAATTGTAGTAATAATAATCATCCTTGTCCAAGCAACACTCGTGGCCTCGTTCCTTTAGTGGGGGTATCTCATGACAGCCCATAATTCCATTGTCTCCTGACAGCGAGCAGATAAAGGGCATCTCGTCGTCTTCCTCGGGTTGGTAATAAGGAGGCAGGACAATGTCACCTTGTCTGCAGTGAAAAAAACAGTGATAAAGTTCCTTCAACAGCTTCCCATCAGCAGCACCAGTGGAGCTGGGAGCTCCCAGCCTGACACAGGGACTGCCCTGGGTAAGGGATTCCTCAAGAGAAGGGAAGAGAAGACAAAACAGGGCTCCCAATCTCCTACAACAGGAAATTTCCAGGGTGAATTTCCCCAGTTTTCAGAGCTTTGCCTGTCATCAGATCACCCCCAGCCAACTGACACAATCTGCTTGCACAAAGTAACAAATGGAATGCAGAGATTTGCATTTTGCTCAGTCTCTCCATTAGCATCAGAGCTAAATCAGATGCAGGGATATGAAGGAAGTTCATCAGGCTTTACTGTAATGTGCTCATGTATGTAGCTGTTGATGGACATGTTTTATAACATTTGGCAGTGAACCTTCTGTACTTCTAGAAAGGAAAAAACAACCCAGTTCATGCATAATTAAGGTTGTACAGCTAAACCTTAAAATCAGGCAATGCAAAGCCAAAATTGACTTCACCTTAACTTTGACTCCTCCTTGGCAGTTGGCATTATGGGTGCAGCCTTTCATGACAAGTTCACGTCCTCTTTCCCAAGTGATGCAAGCACCTTCCAAAATCATGAATAATTAAAATCATCTATGCCTGCCTAGCTGGAGATGAGCTAATGATCAGGCAAGTGAAAGGTGGCAATTGAAAATTTTCCATTCAGCTTTATCTGGTGCATTCCTTGCAAGGCTGCAAACAATGCTTTTGTGTTGCATGGATTCAGACCTCTGCCACCCAGTGTCATCTGAAGAGGACAGGTGCTGAGGAAAGAGTCAAGTCTCTGCTTCTAAACTAAGCAGGACTAAACCACCAAGATCTGTCATAACATATCCACATCATTAGTGAGCTCAGTGCCTGGCAGAATCATTTCTCTAGTAACGGCCAGCCAAAGATTTTCTAATATCCATCACTTTGCAGGCTGTGGCCCCAATTTACTTCTCAGTTACATCAACTCCACATGGATGTAATTACACTCATTAAAATAGTACTACCCCTGATTTAGGACAAGCATCCTAAACATTCATTTTTCCCCAAGGGACATTTAAAGACAGTAAATGGCTGTTTCAAGCATCTCCTGCTCCCCAGCCCTGCTGCTGGTCTGCAGATTGTATTTTTACACTACTTTTTTTTTTTTTTTTTTTCCAATTTGTGGTGATCTAAAGCTTCAGAATTGTTTAATCACTCTAAATTGATCTACAGCTTTAGGGGGGTTTAAGGGGTTTTTAGGGACAGGACACCTGAGGTTAGGATATGGTTTTAAGAAGGCATTTTAAAGCCTGAGATCTGTTAAAGCTATAAAGTCAACAGGAGGAGCTGTGCCCTGAACTGGTGCTCTGGTCCCCAGGAGGGGAATGGGAGGATTCCCAGCAGGCAGGAGCTTTCCCACCCTGCTGCCTGCAGGAGGTAGAAGAGAGATGCTCTGCAGGCTCCCCCCAGCCTCCCCTGAGAAGAAACCTCAGATAGCTGGAGTCAACCCCTGTGTGACTCCAGGCTCTCTTTGCTGGAACTGTGTCACATTTCCCCAAGGGTTTGTGTCCCATTCAAGCAGCCACTCTTTGCTTCCAAATGCTCTCATTTCTACCAGCCCAGCCGTGGGACACCTCTCCCAGCAGTCCTCCATCCCTCCCCACAGCACCTCCCACGTGCAATTCTGCTCCTGAAGTCTGCTGGTAATTTCTCCATGTCCCTCCAAAGCCAACACTGCTGTCCAAATGGCGACCTCAGCTCCACAACAGGGACAACAAAGATGTTCCTGAATGCTTCAGCAGCACTATGGCTTTCTGTAAGAATCCTCTGGTGAACATTTTCTGAAGAGGGAGCAACCTCAGGAGAAAGACAGCATGGCTGGGGTTTCAGATTTTTAACTCCTCTTGGGAGTAGGAGCAGTATCTTGAACACAAGCTGGAGGAGGCATTGATGTTACCTAGGCCTCAGTGAAATCCAGATGAGCTCAGGCACTTGTGAACCACGAAGACAAACTAAAACCAGCTGCCTTTGCCCTCCCTCCCTTTTAACTAACACCAACACGGCCAATGCTCTGCACCTCATCACCCCACAGCCATCTGGAACACACAGGGAGGCAGGCAGGAGAAGACAACAGAGGAGGGAAGGCCAAAGAGAAACGTCCCTAGAAGAAAGGAAGGAGCCATCATCTCCTGGGCACTCACATGGTGAAGTTCTCCTCCATGAAGCAGCGGTTGCGGAGCAGCCCGGCCCAGAGCTGCACCCCGATGATGCCGAAGATGAAGAAGACAAAGAAGCAGAGGAGGAGGACGTTCCCCAGCATGGGCAAGGTGTCCAGCAGCAGGTTCACAAGGATGCGCATGCCTGCGGGGGGAGAAGAGAACCAGGAGGAGCAAGTGTGGGGCAGAGCCACAGAGAAAGGGAGCAAAGGAAGGAGAAGGGAAGGAAAGGAAAATTTAGAAGACACACACACACAAAGCCACTTGAAGATAAAGGCTGTGTCAGAAGTTAATTACTGCCCAAACCAGGCTGGATTTCTGCTTGTTGCCCTTTCTGGTCCTAACCTCTGCTGACAGGCACCCAGCAGAGCTGCTGTGATGTCCTAACCCCCAGCCTCTGGCTGCAGCAGTGAGAAGAACAAGGACTGAGACCTCATCTCCTGTCTGACTGATGTCCCTCCCACCCCTTCCCCCTAGAAGGGCCAAGGAATGCCCACTGTCTGAAAGGCCCATGGCAGTTCAGCAGCCCCATCCTTAGGCAGCTCAAGCTGGAAGTCAACATCTGGATGCTGCAACCTGGGAGAAATGCATCAAGGGACCAAGGCCGGCCTGGCCAGTGGCATGAACCTCCCCAGCACACCCAAACTGGTACAAACTGGGTTTCCCAGTGACCATATGTATCACCAGGGGACAGGCACAGAGACCACACTCTCCTCTCTTGCCTGGTCCTCCCTCCCCAACACAAAGGGGCACACAAGTAGCAGGCACAGACTGAGATGCTGTCAGCAAATCTGGCCAGTGCAAATGTTTAAAAATATGTATTTTTTTAATTACTTCATGAACTATTTCTCTGGTTCTGTTTCTCCCCTGGCTCTGCAGCTCACACAGCCACAAGGAGGGGCCAGGGGAAGCTCACTGAATTTTCCTCTTCTCTCCAGGGATAGCAAAAGTCTAGAAATCCTTCTGAGCATCACCAGGCTGCCTCTAGCCCTGAGCACACCTCATGAGATCCTCCACTCCACAAAGGTCCCTCACTGAAGATGTTCCATGTAGGCCAGGAAATAATTAGCTAATTAGGTATTTATAACCAGTTTATTACTTCCAATGGGAATGAGAGGGGAAAGAGGAGGGGAAGATAAGATTAGGATTCTCTGGCAGCACTTCGAGGCACAAGTTAATCCCCCTTGTGTGCCCAGCGTCAAGTAATTAGCCAGACAATGCTGTGCATTAACTCTATATCTGTTCCACCAGGAGAGGGGAGGGAAGGGGTGTCTGCAGGGAACACACTGGGTAGAGAGGGAGAAGTGGTGCCTGGTGTGGGACACCAGCTTGGTTTGGCTCAGGAGGGAGTGTTTTGGAGAGAAATGAGGGTGGGAGAGACAGAATATTTGCAGGTAGGTGATGTGTAGGGAGGAGAAGATGCTTCAATGACAGCTCCATGGGCTCCTGAAGGACAAGGGAGGAGGATGTTCAGCCCTCAGGCCAGGCTCTGAGGCTCAGTGTTCTCGTGCTAGGCCCTCTGGGGTACCTGGGCTCATAACCCCAGAATGGGCAGGTTGCCCTCTGCCAGGCAGGTTGCCACCAGGCAAGTGGAGTCTTTTCCATGTTACAAAGAATCTCAGCATTGCTGGGTTCCATTTTTAAGTCCAAATGAAATCAAATCTTGATTTTTAAAAAATCTCCCAGCTTCATCCTTCTCAGAATCTTCTTCAACAGAATCATCCTTCTCTCCTCGCTGATGCCAACTGTGGATGAGGTTGGCTCTTCCAAAAGCAAGAATGCTGAAGCTTGAAGCTACACCCATCCAAACTCCAATTCTCCTAGGGGCCAACCACCTCCAAAACAAACCTATCACTTCATTTTGTGCAAAGCCTCTTCTGTTTTCTGCCTTAAACCTCAAAGCAGTTGCTCTGGGAACCCATTTTTCACAAGAAGCATCAGTTTTCCAACAAAAGGACCTCCTCTGCTGAGTCCACCCCATTACTGGAGGTGCTTCAACTACTGCTTCCACATGGGTGAAAGGCACAGTGTAAATAAGCTCAGCACCTTTGTTCTCTCCATTTTCTCCTCCCCCACTGCCTGCAATACTGGTGCCAGGATCCCTGAGCCCCATCTCTGGGGGGAAGCCCTCACAGCCTCCCTGTCCCCTCCTGAGCCAGCAGCCCTCCAGGGGTCTGGGCCTCAGGAAGGGTCAGGCTGGCCTGGCAGCCACACTAGGGCATCTGCTGTGGGTCTCCAAGGAAGAACCCTCACTGCCAGGTGAGGGACAGGAGGGGCTGAGCCCCACTTATCTGCCCCTGAGAATTGGGGCACCTCTCCTGTTTGCCAGACAATCCCCTATCCACAGCAACACCCAGGCATCTTGCAGGACAGCTTCTGGAAGGTGCTGGAAAGCCAGTTCCTCAGCAAAAGTCCTGCTGCTGCCTCATCCTACCTTCCACCACCTCTGCCTGCTTCTCTGCTCCTTCCCTTCTCTCTTGCTGTGCCTACATCTCCTCCCTGCCTTGTTCTGCTCCACAGCATCTGTGCACAGGTCTCCCAGCCTCCCTCCCCACATCCCTGTTTGTCCTTTACAGCTGCCACACTGTCTCACAGCAAGGAGGGGATATGAAAGGGACAATGACCTTTTCTGAAGCAGCCTTTGAAAAAAGGAGACATTCCCTGAGAATAGAAAGAAAGAGGGGCTGGGCAGTCGAAGGGAAAAGCAGGGAGGGAGGGCATTGATGAAGCAACTTTCAGCAACCCAACAGCCTCCCAGGGCATCAAATATGAAAAGGTTTTTGCTCTTCAAGGGGAAGAAAAGCCAGAAACATGAAATATTCATGAGTGCCAGGTGTAGGCTCTGAAAGGCCTTTTCTCTTCCCCTCTCACCTTCAGGAGGAGACCAGGTGAAAGGAAGACACAGAACAGCATCGGCTGTGGGCACCCAAGGAAGGACCTTCACAAAGCAATGCTCAGACAATCCTTGCCTGCTGCTTACCCGTGCCCTTGGGCAAGGGGTGGGAAGGGTGCTGGATCAGGAGAGCAGAGCCACAAGCACTACAGAGATGTGCTCACTGCTCCCACATGGCAGCCGACGCCGCAGGGGGAGAAGCTGAGGGAGGGTGAGAAGAGTGCTGGGGAGAAGATGCCAGAGCAAAGCACAGGGCTGAGCCAAGCCAAAAAATGATTCAAAGTTGCTGAGCTCCCTCCTGGGTCCAGGCAAAGCAAATTATCTGCCTCGCCCTGGCAGCACCCAGAGGCTCTTTGTGGCAAGCTCTGCAGATGCTGCAATGACCCAGCTCCCCTTCAACAGGCAGCTTCCCACCAGCAACACCAGTGGAGCTGGGAGCTCCCATCCCCACAAAGGGACTGCCCTGGGTGAAGGATTTCCAAGCTTATTGCCTCAGGAGAAGGGAAGGGAGGAGAAGGCTCCAAATCTCCTACAACAGGAACCTTCCAGGGTGAGTCCCCAGTTTTCAGAGCTTTGCCTGTCACCCCCAGCCAAAGGACACAATCTGCTTGCATGGAGACGAAGGAAAATGAGGAATGCACAGATTTGCATTTTGCTCAGTCTCCCCCTTAGCAGCACAGCTAAACCAGATGCAGTGATGTTGAGGGAGTCCAGCAGGCTTTGCAGCCAGGCAGAGTAACCGTGTGGGGCAGGTAGGGCTGGCAGCCCACCACCACCTCCCCCTACTCCTGCTCAGCACCACGCTGGCCCTTCGCCTTCTTTCCAAGAGCAAGGACCAAGAGTTGAGCTGATTCACTCCCTAGCACTAACAAGCCTGTCATCTGAACAGGAGACTGGCTCAGGGGAGGCTGAGAAACTCTGTTCTTTCTGGTTTCTTGTGTCTCACCCACTTTTGAGGTTTCTGAGTCTTTGGCAGCTCTAGGGTGAGGGGTAAAGCTAATGAGAGCAGAGTCAAAAGGAGAGAGTGGTTTGAGGCAATCGTTGCCTTGCTTAGAGTAAATCAGGTGGAAGAGGAAATAATCCTCAGCACCCATCTGATCTGCATCATGGGCCAAGCCACCAATTGTCATTTTAACTGGAGCAAAAGCAAATCTTTTCCCCATCAGCACTTGTGACTGTAGCTGGCAGTACATTCTGCAGAGCACAGAGACTGACGCTGTCCCTCAGCCAGTCCACTTGTCCAAGCATGCCTTCTTTCCTTCCTACCCTGCCCCAGGCCACATGGCAGTCTCCCCAGCTGGCAAGGGGTTGGCAGGAGTTTCCTCTGCATGCTTCTTTATGGTAATTTTCAGAACAGGGGAATCATTCCAGCAGATAGGCTGTATTGGTGCTGGAAGCACACAGAAAAAGATGCACCTTTTCTTTTACATTAAAATAATTTCAGTTTGCATGCATGGTGCAAGCTGGTGCTCCAACATGGGGCCTCTAGCTGATCTGAGGCTCAGCTGTCATTTCACACCTTGCAGTCACCTACAGCAGCTAAAACGTGGGGCCAAACTACTGCAAAGAGGAACCAGCCAGCTCTGTGCTCCACAGGAGATGCCTCACGGCTTCCACTGCCTCTCAGACCTTCTTCCCTTTGCTGCATTCCTCCTAAGCGAGGCCTCTCTTGCAAACACACAGGGAAGTGAGAGGAACTCAGCTGGAACAGCCAGTGTGCAGCTCCAGGTGCCTTCTCCTCAAGCTGCTAAGCCAGCCTCACTCACACTCCATCCTCTCACCCCCTGCTTTACAATGATGCAAGAGTGAGCACGTCCAGATGGTTGCCCTGACCCAGGTTAAATGACCCCTATGGAATAAAAGGTCCAGTTGACAGTATGAGGTTGTGAGAAATCTTAAACCAGCTCCACTGCTAAGGAAAAGTTGCCCCAGAAACAAATGTGAAACACTGGCCTCATTCAGAGGCAAGCAAAGTCTTTCCATTGATCTCTCCTGTCAGGTTCTCCATGCCTTTGTAGGGTTGGGGGGTTTGCACTTGCAGGTTGTCAGCATGATTTGAGTCAGTTTGAATGCCACTAAATTCTTCACCAACACTCTGCTCTTGCCTTGCCAACAAGCAAAGCTTTCTAACATCTGAGTGGCTCAGACACCTCATCTGGCTCAGCCTGTTGATGACCTAACCTCCAATTATCCAAATCTTTGTCACTCCTCAGCTTGACAACAGAAAATATCAAAGTGAGACATTTCCAGCA